ATATATATATATATATATATATATATATATATATATATATATATATATCCTGATATTTTTAGTAATTCTTCAAGGACATTCAAAATAGTGCTGGAATTAACTAGTCATATGCTTTTTCTGGAAATTATCCAATTTACATCTAGGTTTATGCAATCAATATATAATAAATTCTGGCGTGTTTGATTCTGCCAATGTCCCAGTTATTCTGGGAATATTAAGGGTATCAACAAATCTGTCCAATATTTCCCCAAGTTTATTATTCTCTACCCTCATTCCCCCACCCCCCAAAAAACCCAGAATCATAATTGGAGAACAAAAATTAATTATAGTACATTCCTGTATTTTGTTGCAGAATTCTAGAAACACCAGATTTAAGCTAGCAGTACAAAGTTTCTAGGATTTATCTAATTGTTTGTAAAATCTGGTGGATGTTCCTTGCCTTGTTTACACAACCAATTTTGTTGTATTTATTTTGTATAATGACAATAAAGACTATACTATACACTCAAGGATAATTTTTTATGCCAATAGAAGAATAAGAAAGGAAAGAAATTGTGTCACTCTAAAGCTTAGATGTCTTCTAAGGATAGATTCCAAGAAGACATCTTCTAAGGCTCAATTTTACAAATAAACCATCAAAGAATGTAAGCCAAACAAATATCAACTTTCAGCATATAAACCTTTGAAAGTATGAAAATACTGGAATGTAACTTTTGGCTACTCTTTTAAAAATACATAGAATGTAATTGCTACCATTTAATCCTCTTCCCCTTTATTAAACTATATAAAGGCTTCCACTGGCACCATGCTTCCATATGATGAGATCATTGCAAAGGCAAGCTGCAATCTTCCTTAAGAAACATTTGAGTAAAACTTTACATATATTTGGGAGTAACTGCAGAGGTGGTAATATCTAAACCATCCTAAAACATATGTCAGGTGATCAAACACTTTTAGCCTACATAACAACATTATTTTTAAAAATTGAACTTGTATTTTTATTTTAAAAGAATTTTTTTAGGCAAGCCCAGGAGAATCCACTGGGACATCATGGACTTCTCAATGCAGTTGAGTTGCCAAAACTGACAGTTCCTGCTGTAACCAACTTGACTTCTTACCCTAATCCTTCATTTCAGTCAGTTTTTACCCTCCCAGCATCCAACAGACAAGTCCAGGTTTTGCAGCCTATAACATATTTTGGGACACATCGCAAGGTAATTCTGCCTTGCTTATTAGATTACATGCTATTTTGTAAAGTAGATTATAGCCCATTTTAACTTCTATTGTCTCATTAACAGTCGGAAAAACAGAAGGAATTTAAATCTCCTATGAAACAGTACCACCTGCCTGCTCTGGAAAGACGAGGTGGAAGATTTTGAAGGATCAAAACACTCATGAGCTGTCTGGGTTTTTTAGTACAGAAATGGCAAAAGTGCCTTATCACCTCAAATGCTGCAACAAGAAGCTACAACAATCATTCTTTGGGACTTACCCTTTTTTTTACAAGTCAACAATGAAACCACCATTTTTAAAACTCAGAATGCACCTTGATTTTTTTAAAGGAGTTCCTATTTTTTTCTTTTCTTCTATGGTGATCATATATTTAATGGTGTTGCACTGGCAGAAGTGAATTGCTCCAACTTTTACATTAAATGCTACATTGTTTGTGTGTGCGTGTGTATATGTATGTGTGTGTGTATGTGTATGTGTATGTATGTATGTATGTATGTATATCAGCTATATATATATATATATATATATATATATATATATATATATATATATATATATATATATATATAAATTTCATTCATTCGGGGGAGGGGTTGTACATGTGACCATAGGGATAATCAGAGCCAATCTTCTTTATCATTTAGAAACTTCAAAATTTAAATATAACCTAGTATAAAAATTTGCGTTCTGAAACAAATAATATAAATTAGCAGGTCTTTGTATGGATGGTGGATGAAAAACATCAGTCATTACTTAATAGTATCTTGTATGAAAAACTATAAGTAGATGTATATTGTCACACTGGCATAGTTCAATGTAGAATGTTACACATTTGTTTTGAAAAGGCCATGATGTTTGAAATTCTTGTGCTGGAGGAAATAATCCACTCTAAAGGGCATTTAAGTTAGCTTTTATAGCGGTATCAGTAAAATAAATATATTAAAGGACTAAGAAGATTTTTATAGGATTATTATGAGATCAAGTACCATGTCCTCTCCCAAACAAACTATCAAATATCATTACTCTGTAACAAGAAAAATTGATGTACTGGACTAGAGTAAAAAATATTGATACTGTATAACAGTTGCACCTTAAATAACAGCCAAATAGCAATGCTTCAATAAAGTGGCAAAAAGATAGCTAAGACTGGACGATATCTTTGAGGAGGGAAAAAGTTTGCTTAAAAGTCACAAAAAGAACACAAATGCAATATAATCCATAAAGCAAGTCCTAAAACTGCTGTATTTTTTTTCCTATATGAAGGCAATCATTTGCTTGAGGATTCAGTAATCATGATAAATTGGTTGAATGTAATCTTGCCATTATTTATATTTCTGTACAAACCAAACTATGGAAAGATTGAGATTTATTTTGAAGAATTTTCATATTATTTCACAGAATCATTCAAGTATTCAGGATAAGATTTGAAATTTAGAATTTGAACAGCATTATTTTTTGCATCTGCATTTTTGTGACTGGATGAATATTGTATTTAGTTTTAGTTGCCATGATATAAGATGTTGAGACTCTGAAGAGAAGAGCAATAAAGATGCTTAGGAGACTGGAGGCTAAAACATATGAAGAACGGTTGCAGGAATTGAGTATGTCTAATCGAATGAAAAGAAGGACTGGGGTGACATAATAGCAGTGTTCCAATATTTAAGGTGTTTCTAAAAAGCACCTGAAGGCAGGACCTCAAGCAATAGATGGAACTAATCAAGGAGAGAAGCAACCTAGAACTAAGGAGAAATTTTCTGACAGAACAACTAATCAGTGGAACCACTTGCCTTCAGAAGTTGTAGAGTTCCAACACTGGATGTTTTTAAGAAGAGAAATGGACAACCATTTGTCTGAAATGGTATAGGGCAGTGATGGGAACCTTTTTCTTATGGCATGCCACAATTGTTGTGCGCAATTGTTTTTCGCCCTCCCCAGTCTCTGAAGGCTTTCCTGAAGCCTAGGAAGGGCAAAAAAACAGCCCCAATGAGCCAATTGGAAGTTAGGGAACAAACTTCCGGTCGGCCCATTAGGCCTGTTTTTCACTCTCCCCAGCCTAATGGAGGCTTTCCTGAAGCTTAAGGAAGGCAAAATGGCCTCCCCTGGCCCTCTTGAAGGCCGAAAATCAGCTACCCAGCGCATGGCTGGCGTGCCAGCAAATATGGCTCCGCATGCCAGCTGTTGTACACGTGCCATAGGTTCGCCATCACGAGTATAGGGTTTCCTGCTTGAGCAGAGAGTTGGACAAGATCAGCAAGGTCCCTTCCAACCCTATTATTCATTCCCCCTCTCAAAAAACTCTCCAGCAGGAAATTCTGAGTAAAATTCTCAAATGCAATCTGGATCTCAACATATAAATATTAAAGCAGTAGTTCCCAATCTTTCCAGCATGGCGGATTGATGGGGGAAGGGGGTGATTCTCGCCCAACGGCAGGTATGTGCATGTGCCTGCCACTTGCACAAATGGGAGTTTTTTTGTGTGCCCGCACATATGTGAACACCCACCATTCACACAAGTGGAGCTTCACGCACACACTCACCCAGTGTTTGCATGGTCTGGTTTGGAACAAGTCATGGTACTGTGCTAAACAAGGATTGGAAAATATCCTTTAAGAATGTTTATGTTCATCAGGCATAAGCATTATTTCATATAGTTACTGGCTTTAGTCGTATCTAGAACATTAGAAGTTTATTCTAGGATCTTGTAATTTAAAACAAGGCACCTACATTATTGAATAAAGTGCATCGTGATTGGATTAAAGAGTTGAAATACTATAGAATCTCTAGTCAATCTTCAAACTTCTAAAATAATGATTCAGGTTATGTATTTTTTGTTTTATTGAATGAAAAGCAGCTACTTTGCCTTTAGATGTCTGAAAGCTCTCTTCAAATAGTCAAAACATGTTTTACTCTTAAGAGCATTCAAGAAGGGAGTGCTCAAGAACAGATTTTGCCTGTTGATAGTCATGTGCAATCTCCCACAGGTGATGACAAAATATTTCTGTTTAATATCTATCCCAAAGAGGCAACACCAAGCTAAACACACCCAATATGAAGACGTCTGATTTGATAGAATAACATATTTTATGATTTCATCCCTTAAACAATAAAAAACCCTTGTACATTATACTCTGACATTATTATCTACATGCATAATCAGAAGCACGTTGTATTTCATTGGAAACTAAATCTGAGATTCATCTCCCATTAACATATGTTGAGGACAAATTACTTGACAATTTTGGAAACAAAAGGGAAAAATTCAGAACATATATTGCTTTTTGGTATGCTTAGATATTTGACAAGAAGGCAACCTCTGTTCATGTTGAATTAATAATTTGTAATACAGTACAATTTAAGTGCTTTTGAATTGCATGAGATCAAACACTAAAAAGAGTTAAAAATTTAGAATGTTGGTCAATTTCAGCTTGGAATATTTTTTTAAAAGCTTGTAGATTTTATAATTGGAAACATAATCAGAAAGATGGCTGCATGTAACTTCCTAATCAAGAAATGGTAACACTAAGACCTGCACAACTGCTTGAGAGTGTCATGCATAGTAAGAAGAGACAAGTTTCCCCAAATGTTCCTGTTCAGTTCTTTAATGCTTCAGCATAGCACTGAAGTCTACCCAGATACTTGACAAGCTATTTTATTTTATAAAAGCTGTAATTTTGTACTTGTTTTCAAAAAGTGAGGACTTTTGCAGAATTAGGCAAAGGTAAACACAAGCAAGGGGCTTCCACTCTCCATACAGAAAAAATTTCGGAGGGATTACTTGACACGGGTTTAGACTAACAAAAAAGGATTATCTGCACTTTGTGTTCCTTAGATCTCAGGATTATTAACTGTTTTTAAAGCCTGTTTTTCCCCTGCTTTCTAGTTCTACAACACTTTTACTACAGAATTGTGATTACTGCTACTGCTATTACTGCTACTGCTATTATTATTATTATTATTATTATTATTATTATTATTATTATTATTATTATTATTATTATTATTTCTTCTTCTAAAGAAGATGGTTTGGTTGAACCAGTGTTTCTTGCTTCTAAAAGTATAATTATACATACCGATTTCCAGAGTTGGCTCACAGCAGCAGAAAGGGAAGAAGCAATTCTGTGATGACTGCCCTCCCCCAAATACATTTTTGCAGAGACAGACTCAGCAAAAGCAGCCCCTTCTGCCTCCACAGGATGAAATGCCTTCTGTGGAGAGAAACATTGTGTTCACAGTTAAATCCAAATTTTTGGTTTTAAGCAGCTGGTTCACACACTGTGCTGAGCCATAATATGGCTTATGTAGTTTTGGCTTAGCATGATGTATGAATCCAGGCATTATAATATATAATTCATGTTTAAGGCTTATCAAAGTGTGAAGCAAACTATGGTTTGTTCTTAAGGCATAAAAATGTCTTACCTAAGATCTAAACCTGCCGATGCACAGTAGTTAAAATGGCATTTTTATTTTGCTTTCATTAGCAGTTTGTACTATGCAATCAAAAATAGCCTGACACTATTTAGTTATTTCGAACTAATTTTGAAAGTATTTACTATAAGCCCAAAAGCACTTTGGAGTATGTCAAAAGGGCTTATATGTAGCCCAATGAATAGTAATGCATTGCAGACACTAATGAAACTCTTTCAAAAAGTGTGCGAGGCAGTGTTAACTGTGGAAATCCAGCAAATGGCAGGATTATCTGCACAGACATTCATATACATAAAATCTACAATCTTGAAACATTATCAAAAAGTGGTCCATGTAGTTTTTAGCACTCTTTTTCCATAGCCAGAAAGTGAGGAGACTACGTTGCAACTACCAGTATTCAAATAAGCTCTTTGCTTCCCCAGTTCTTTTGCTTCAGAATCACCATCAAATAAGAGTGGCATGGGGATAGAGGGAACTACCTATACAACTTCTCAGCCCAAGGGGGGGGGGGAACCAACCCAACCATCAGGGCTTTTGATAGAGCTGGGGGGATGGGGAGGAAGGATGTGAAGAAAGCAGCATTGAATGGTTGCAATGCAAGCTCTGCTTCTTTTTCTATGCATCCTGAGGCTCCAGCCCTACAAGAAATGGGCTGGCCTTGCTTCACAATGGCTGAAATGCTGATACAACTTTGACAAGAATCTGGGAATTTCTGCCTCTTGATCTGATCTCCAGAGAGGAATCCTCAGCCGCATAATTCCACTATCAAGCAGAAAGCATATTCTTCAAGGAAAAAAAAAACTGAAGGGGATTCTTCAGATTTCAGTGTGTTCAAAATTAGTTTAATAGAACTAACCAAGCAGCAGACTCTCATATTTATCCTCCAACAAGGCATCCATTTTTCATTGAAACAGGAGAACTATGTACTTTGGCACATTATTCTACAGTGGCAACCTACTGTTGTTACAATAATTTTAAATAAACATTTTAGTGTTTCTAATCACATTAACAGATATTAAATTATAGTTTCCCAATGCATGAAAATGGTGACTACCACTGTTATTTAACATATATTTTAAAAACTAGGCTTAAGAACTTTGTAGTGTTCTAAACTGTACTGAGGAAAAGCCATTTAGAATAAAGTGCAGGAAAATAACACCTATTAATAAAAGCCCAGTTCAATAGCTCCTAAATCTGACCTGAGTGTTTTCAGAAATAACATTTTCTACAAGAATTTAAATCATGTCCATACCAAAAATATTACATTCAAAAAGTTACATCAAGGGTGATTTAAACAGAAAGTAAACAAAACTGCATATTCAAGATAGTTTAATATGTATTTTCTGAATTAGAAATATCACTTTCTTAAATGATTAAAATTACTAGTGTAATGATTTCCCCAATCACTGAATTACATTATTTACATATATAATACAGATTGACTGTAGTTGAAACATTATTAAAATAAAATGTTTGATACAAAGGATTTGTTTCTTTATAACATAACTTTAGAGGATGCCCAAACACCCATTTAAAAATTAATTATCTACTAGCATTACGCTATTTAAGTGCAAACAATCTTTTTAGAAAAACCTATGATTGTAGCATCCATCTTCCTGAATTAACATTTGTGAAGCCAGAAAGTAATGACTTTAATTTCCCATGAGAGCTTTTCAGGTTAACCATCTTCAATTTTAAAAAGCAGTGCAAAGAAAAAACAACTCAACAATAATATTCTAATTTATAACACCATTAAACTTACTTGGATTTAAGAAACATTTTATTTTACACGTGTAGATGTGTGTGAATGTAGGTATGTGATTAAATTACACTTTGAAATATAAAGCAATTGTGATTTTTAATTGTAGCACCAAAGGAAGCATTTTTAAGCAAAATTCTTCCTTAGGTGAGCAGCCTCAAAGTATTAGATGTAAAAATATAACTCATTACAGAATTATTTTGTAAAACACTATGTGATTCACATAACACTCTGCCTTTTAAGAATTTGTGATGCTCTCTGGCTGAACAGCAGCTTCTGGTTCCATTGTCATTACTTCTTGTTCTGTGTTCAAAGGTTTCCTAGGAGGAGTGTGATGGCTATACTACAGTTCCACTTGGAGAATTGGCCTGGTTTTGGGATGGCAAAACACCCTGCAAACAAAGCAGTTTACATTAATCCAGCAAGAGAATGCAACATTTACTTTGCTAAACACTTATGTTTGCAGATTTTTCTTGGCAGACTATTTGCATACTCAATTTATAATTTTAGTTCATATTATTCAAAAATGTTAGTGAATAACTCTACTTGGATATAACAAAACAAGTTCCAAGATTTAGGACATGAAAAGAAGATCAAGGCAATAACAAGTTGCAGTCTGGAATGACAAGCAATAAGTCTTACAGTATCATGAAAACTACTGAAAGTTTTCCCAAACTGGCTTCAGAAATATTCTCATACATCTCACAGGAAACTCTTAAAATAGAGATTTCATGCTATATCAGATGTTGAGTTTATCAGAATCATAGAACACTTGGTTTTCTTTATGCAGAAAATGTGATAAAACTGAACAGAATAGTTTCTGTTATGGACTTATAATATTAAGAAAAGGAAATGAACTACAAATGTGTCTGCATTATGAGCCCTTTGCTGGGAAAAATTAGTTATTTGCTGATGTAATTTGCCTTTCAGATTATTTATACTCCTTGCAGTTTAGTTTGTACCCATAAAATACAATTACTCATAAGCATTTTTTACCGGACTAAGATTTCTTAATAAATGGGTTTCCAATCTGATGCCTGAAATAGCAATTTGAAGATTCTCAGCCAATTTATGTACTCTTTGGACAGAAACAGATGCTTCAATCTATTTAATTTTTTTGTTAGATGAGGAAGGTAAACATTTCTGGCTTTGTCTGTCCACCTGACAGATGTTCTGTTTTTCTTCAGCAGATATGTAATTCATTCAGACATTACATGGAAAATCTCAAGTATATGAGCCATTTTAGTGAAGAATGCCCCTCCATGAATGAAACATAATGAGCAACTCTGCCCCAAATTTGATGTGAACTGTAGTTGGAGTCCACTAATTTTTAAGCAACTATCGTGTCATTTTTTCCTCTAACATTTTATTTTGTCTTTAGTTTATGGCTTAATAAGCCATAGTTTTTGTGATCAGAAACTGATTCTTGAAGTTGACAACAGAGGTTTAAAAATATGAACAAGAGATTAATTTTTGATATGCGCACAAGCCTCTGACATTTCACGATTCTGTAAACCAATGGTAGTCAACCTGGTCCCTACCGCCCACTAGTGGGCATTCCAGCTTTCATGATGGGCGGTAGGGGTTTGCTATAACTCTGCTTTATAAATTTTATAAAGTAAAGTTACTTCCCTACTTTA